GCTAGACGCCGATCGAGAGAGATCTGTCAATCTCGTGTCACAGCGTGACTGTTCTATTTATGAGCAAAAGGGGACACACCTGGTAACCCGACTTTGATTTTCGGAGACCTATCTCCGGCTGTCACTCAATCTAACTTTATTATTTCGTTTTGCATTACATGATGGCCAACTTGTGATTTGAATTGTGTTTACAGTTTTGTTTGTTATACTATAGCTATATTACATATGGCGATATAAGTATAGATTTAATTATATTACAACATATATACAAAATAAAACACATTTATTACACGAACAACATAATATATATAAAAAGGAATTTCGGTTAAAAATTCAATGCGAGGTATCTTCTCCAGGAAGAAGGGGCTGAGACTTCAGCAGGGGCTCCAAGCCGGTCGACTTCTGCGACGACGTAGTTGCAGGTAGAGGGCGAAAGTGAGGATGGCCACCAGGGCGGACTCCAGGCAGGTGATGGCCAGATCTGGCCGGTGGAAGAGATGGCCGATGGGATCAAGAATCTCCCAGAGATTCTGTAGGAAGGGGCTGACAGCCCAGCTAGCTCCAGGTGGGACGATTGACTGTGGAACAGGCATCAAATGCCCCAGGGGCAGAAGAAAGAGCAAGAAAACTCCGATAAGCATGGCCATATTCGTTTTATTCGACAAGAATCTCGTTTGGTTTTAATTGTTTATTTTTATTTGAAACAATTAGACTGAAGATTCAACTTGAGGTAAAAATTTATTCTCCACTTATTTTTGAGTTGGAGAAAAATCAAATTGATGAGAAAAGGTGTCTTCAAAACATATCAAAAAATGCGTCCTCTTTCTCTGTTAACCCTAAGTTAATATTTGAAATATCAATATTATAGGAAGATATATTTATAATCTGTTATATATATATATATGAAAAAACGAAAGAAAAAAATAAAAGATAAAAAGATCAGGTGTTGAAATCAATAATAAAAATGGCATATCCTGACCAGGAGCACATGTGCTTTACAGAAGGCAGAGCGCCATCTGGTGCAACAGAAATCAACTAAACATTGATTTAGCCTGTTCCCTGATATTTGGCCAACCCAATTTCTTGATAAATCAAGAAAAGCCATCCACGAACGCGTTTCGCGTATATATATATAATATATGTATTATTAATTAATTGTTACCACAGAGTATATGTGTAAGATCACAAGTAAATAGGCGCTAACGATAAGAGGTAGATAGGTTTCTTTTTATTTACTATCGTAATAAGTTATTCTTTTGTTTGCTCTCTTGTAAATCAATAATGTTTGATTAATCTTCTCGGGATCAGTATCTTTAAAATCTAAGCAAAAAGTCAACAGAATCTATATCTCAACTAATTATCACTTGTTATTTAGCTACGAAACTTAAGAATATAGTATTCTTATTATGTGCACGCACTTGGGGCATTGATACTCGGCGTAGATTGATCTTATATAAAGCTATGATACGCTCTACAATAAGCTATGCATCAATTATTTGGTTTCCTTTTATCACTGCAGCAAAAAGATCTAAGTTGAATTCTAAACAATATCAAATTCTTATTAGATCCACATGCTTATAGGACTTCATCTTCTTACATCACACATATACTAGCGAAAACTCCTTTACTGTCCGATTATCTTGAATTATCACAAACAAAGTATAATTGACAAATTCTCTCACAGATCGAACACTCAAAAAAACCCTTGAAAAAGAATTAAATAAACTATATCTGGATCTAAAATTTAAGTTTTATCATTCTCAATCTAATGAACTGTTCAAGAAATTCTTTCCAATTGCTGTCCCAAATTTCATTTCTTCTGATAAATTCACTACTTTATTCTTAACAGGCAAAGGACCCTTCTTATGTTTCCTATTCAAACTGAATGTTATCAATGATCCAACATGTGAATGCCGCTTAGATGTTGAATCACCAGAGCATCTTCTTTTAACTTGTCCTCTGACTAATCAAATTGTATGTAGATACTTTGAAACATTACCAAATTATCTTTGTATATATACTCTATCTTATGAGAACTTTGTTAAGTTTAGAACTATTTGTGCAATAATTTACAAAACACTACTAATCCATCGTGTAAATAATTAATCATATATATGTAAATAATACTGGCACAGCACAATAGTCCTTTGGACTTCGTGCTTTTTGTAACAATAAATAAATAAATAAATCACTTGTTATTTAAGACCATAAATGTATTTAGAATAAGTTAATGACAAAAATTAGTGCTAGTTCTATTTCCATTTGTGGTTTATTTACAATATAAAACAGTAATTATTACTATTTTAAAACAGTAGTACAACACTCAAGCGAACAGCAGAAAATTCAGTTCCAAAAAAGACATTTGAAACTAAATATACAAATCATCATTTTGATTTATAAATAAAAATAGATTGGAATAGTTTATTTTTATTTTATTTCAATTTAAAGCGCTTTTCCCCCCTGGGACACTTGCGCTGTCATACATGTATGTCTTTACATTTGCCTATATATATTTATACAATACCTTTAGGTCTTGAATAGAATAGTCATAGATGTCAACAATGAGAAAGAGAGAAAAAACGAGAAAAAAGAACTGTATACAAAAGAAAGAAGTGTCTGGCAATATGTATAAATATATGTATAATATAAATTATCAGTTATTTAAAAGATATTTGCTATATAATTTAAAATATATCTTAATGCTATGTAATAAATAAAGCACTTGACTCAAATCGTCCTTTCATTTAGTATTCAAATGTAATAATGTAATTATCATAAGTTTAACTATTTTTGTAAATATATTCATGATTTTCTTTCAAACCTGAAAGGTTCAGGTTCCTAATATATATATATATATATTTTCTCTTTTTATTTCGATTACTTTTTTTTTGTAAAAATTTTATAACTGTTTCTGTTTAAAAAATGTAAATCGACGCAATTATCCCTAGCCGGGATATCGCGTTTGTGTGTTGAAATAAATAAATAAAAAATAAATAAGCTATAAAATAAACATTTTTTTTACTTTTTAATAAAATTATGTTATAGTTTAACATACTTTTTAAAAATCAGTTTCAAATAATTGCGCTTCCTGTGCTTATAATCCTCTATATAATTTGTTTATTCTCAATTCAGACAGAAACATGCCTATCCCGCCATCTATTGAGGAAAAGTGTAACTATTTATGACAATCCTTCTAAATGGGAATTTTACCTTTTATTTATATAGTAACTCCACACACACACAACAATTTTGTAATGAAATGTATTTTGTAATTAAAATCTTAAATTATATTTTCAATGTATATTTATCGGCATAAACATTTTATTAAAAATAATTAATTTAATTATTTTATATATAAACATATTTAAAAATTGGTATATCTCTAATATATATTTCAAAATATGTTTTCAAATCTCTCTTATATACATATTTTTATATCGAGAGAGGGGGAAGTTATAGAAATGTATAATAATGAAAATTTAATTGACTTAGAAATTTCACAAAAAATAGTTTAAAAAGTTGATAATAGATGGCGGTGTGTATTAATTTGGTTTTTACCTTAATATTCTTCCTAAGATATTGATTCTATTTTATAGAATACTTGATATAAAATATAGAAAAATATAAATGTAAGAAACTTATGAAAACTAAGAAATCAAGCAATTTTCAAATTATTTATTTTATTTACTTTATTAAATCGCCTCCTAATTTATTTTCCTATAGAGAAGACGTGCTAAGCTTATCACATGACCAAATAAAAGCTGACTTTATTCGTCAGGTCGTAAAAATTCTCAATATCTACTGACATTATTAACTTACTAGCCGAATGACCCGGAAAACGCCCGGGGTTTACCCGATTAAATGCTTTTATTCAAATACTATTCGTTACAATTATAAATTGGCGCCGTGGATGTCATTCTTGTATAATATATAAATGAAATATAAGTCGGTGGACGAGTGGGTAACCCCCTCGATTCCCGACAGTCATGAACCGGGATTGAATCCCGCGTTAAAATTTGTTTAATATGTGAATAACCTTCACATATTATTCAATGTTCAATTATCATGAACTAGGTTGCTCTTGCTGAGCGGTACCTATTTATGTGAATTTGAACCAGATAATATATAAATGAGTTTTAAAAATTGTAAAAAAATAATGCATCGGCCGGGAATCGAACCCGGGCCGCCCGCGTGGCAGGCGAGCATTCTACCACTGAACCACCGATGGTTATTAGAAATGGCCATATTTGGGTATTTATTCCATTCACAAAGCAAACGTTGACAGAATTGATTAAGAAAGAATTGATTATGACGCTGATAACTGTATATTTTAATGAAAAATAGTACAAAAGTAATTTGTACTTGGATCAGGGAGATAAATTAAGAAAAAAGGCATTTCCTGATCGTGTAACTGGAAGTTGATGATGGCTTGCGCCATCTATGGGAATAAATATCAACTAGTGGTTGATTATTAATTATTCCATAATTGACCAAATACCGTTTCGTTATTAATCAAGAAAAGCTAACCACGTACGCGTCTCGGGCTGTTGGCCCTTGACAGCGTGGTGCAAGCTGTACCACGACGACCAAAAAGGATGGTCTTTGGGGCATCCTGAAAACACACGAAACAGGTATTTAAGCCGGAATGGCGTGAGAACGCCAAACAATATGAAAAATAGTACAAAGGTGAATTTTTACTTGGATCAGTTGGATAATTTAAGAATAATTAAAAATAAACGATTAGTTAAGCTCGTGCTAGCTAAAGCTCGTGAAGTGATAAATAAAAGGATAAGATAGGATAAGAAATAATAGAATATAAAAATATTACAAATAATCATTCTAAGGTTAGAAATAACCGTTATTTCTCCTTAAAATAAATTTCGATTTTTCTTTCAAAAGAAACACATGCAGGATAATTTTCAAATGTCGTTTTACGATCATAAGCCGCATTATATTGTATTATTAATTACTTTATATATTATTTACGAACGGAAAAATATGCCCAGGGTAGCTTAGTGGACATGGCATCTGCCCGGTAAGCGGAACATTGTGGGTTCGATTCCCATCCCCCCTGGACACTTTATTTTTCCGTTTATCATTATTTTTCCTATTTATCCTTTCATAATTCATCCCTAAGGTTAGAAATATCGTTATTTATCCTTAAAATAAATTTCGATTTTTCGTTCCAAGGAAACACATGCGGGATAATTTACAAATGTCGTTTTACAATAATCATTCCCCTTAGAAAGGTGACAGCGAGGAAATTTCGGGAACTAAATAAAATTTTAGTTGATATTGCCATATCTTTTCCCTTGGGAATAAAAGGTAGTAGTATCATTATTCTTGTAATATATGGAATCAACATATCAATTAATGAAAATTCAAAACTATTATAGACACGTATGATTCTTTTTAAAATAAAACAATTTATACTGTCCTTAGTACAATGGATAAATTAATGGGAGGGCCTGGCTCATCAGTGGTGTACCCCCCAGCGGTTTCGCCAGTTTAATCTACCATACCGTTGTTATATTGCATTTTTAGAACTTCCTTTTATAGTGATACTGTAGCTAGACTTTTGATAGAAAAAAGTTCCAAAAATGCAATATAACAGCGGTTTGGTATATTAAACTGGCGAAACCGCTGGGAGGGTTCACCACTGATGAGCCTGGCCCTCACATTAATTAATTTTCCATTGCTGTAAGAAAAGTAGGATTTATTTCATTTTTACAAAACCCCTACGCGCGTCTATAATAGTTTTGATTTTAAAAACAGATGGCGCGCCAATGCATCATGAAATCAATTAATAGTCAAAATATTTTATTGTTGAATTATTATACCAATATCAAACTTGAGTGTGATAAGGAGTCTCACCATTATCTGGATAATTCTGACCATCATGATATGTTGTCCCACTAGATTTATAATTCACACTATAGGTTTAGGTTGAAATTATTTGGTAAATAAAATATTTCATTTCATTTTGAAAATAGAGCAATCCATAAATAAATATTTAAATGAAAAGGCATATATTGGATCAAAATATCATTTATTTTACCAATATTTCAGTTGGTCGAACGCCAACCTTTATCAAGGTATTATAGCATTTTAATGTGTGTCAACAATGTGTAGCGCTGAGTTTGTTGTTGACACACATTAATATGTTATAACACCTTGATAAATGTTGGCGTTCAGCCAGCTGAAATATTTGTAAAATGAATGATATTTTGATCCAAGATGGAAGGATGGTCTAAACCTTTGGTTTTCGACCGCTACGACCAGGGATTGAATCCCGCTTTGGGCACATATTTCTAATTGGTGGGAAAAATGCTTCAATGACCCCTGATTTTTGAAAATTCCAACCCACCAGCGAGTGCAAGTAAACAGACAGGGCTTTGGCACATTTGTAAGTGCAAAGTCGAACTGCTTTTCACATGTGTAGACATGTGGTACACTTACAGTAAAAGCAGTTGCCAACTTCTACCCACCATGATTATCATGGTCTGTACCACGTGTACTAGGGATAATGTTAATTAAGAAAAATAAAATTTCGTAGCATTAACAAAGAATTACTATTGACCAATATAGTTAAATATAGTTAAAATAAATTAAGTTAAACCTGTCTATAGCGCCCCCTTTTGGGACTCACCAAAATAGGGTGCTATAGAGAAGGGGTGCTATAGACAGGTCTTTTTTAAATGTAAATCGCATCGTACTACGTATTTAAAATCAGGCGCTATTTTGAGGGAGCGCTATCGACAGGTTTAGGCGTATTTCATTAATTATAATTGGACCGAGATTTAGGTTTATTGAATGTGAAATTTTGGTAAAGGAGCTTTATAGAAAGAAGTAATTTCATCATATGAGTACCTCTGGGAAAATTTGTTTAATAAGGTTGCCGTTGTAATTTATGGAAGATAAAAACATACACACCGACATGTAACCATTTAAAATTGTTTGTTTGTAGTTGAGATTTGAACATGCGGAATTTGGCGACAAAACCTGAAATCGGAATATTAATTTTAACCCTTCACGTTAGTGTGTAGGAACAGTGACAATATACACTCATGGACACTTTGAAAACTTTGAACTTTTCATATTTCGATGTCGCCCGTATTTGTTTTTTTTTTTTAAGACGAAGTAAATTTTGAAAAAGACAGGAAGTAAATTTTGTTCACACATTTGGTGGGTTATCTTACACATAAGATGTGTCTTTGTGTCTACGAGTGTATCTTTAATAGTTATTGTCTCAATCCCGATATACATGTTGAAAGGTACAACTTCCTTAAGTTTTGTCTACGAGTGTATCTTTCATAGTTATTGTCTCAATCCCGATATACATGCTGAAATGTACAACTTCCTTAAGTTTTGTCTACGAGTGTATCTTTCATAGTTATTGTCTCAATCCCGATATACATGCTGAAATGTACAACTTCCTTAAGTTTTATCTACGAGTGTATCTTTCATAGTTATTGTCTCAATCCCGATATACATGCTGAAATGTACAACTTCCTTAAGTTTTGTCTACGAGTGTATCTTTCAGAGTTATTGTCTGACTCCCGATATACGTTCTATATAAGATGAAATTTCTTCAAGTTTTGTTCTTTAATGTATATCGCATAGAAGATTGGTCCTTCGTAAACACTTGGCTAAATGGCCTGTGTAGTACCAATCAAATATGTATATTAGTGTCCCATCTGTGAACGAGAATTATGATATATATTTTATATTTTAATGGAATATATTTCTATTAATTACTCTACATATAATGTTATGAGGAAAATATTCAGAGATAGAGAAAGAGAGAGAAAATTGACAAATAACATAGCATTATTGACATCCCGTCAAAAATATAGACAAAAGAGAAAGAAAGAGAGAGGGGGGGGGGGGGCAGGCTCATCAATAGTAGATATATATAGCATTCATCAAATAAATATGGCTAAATTGAATTAAATTTGTTCATTAATGATGACCAATTTCATATTGTAGATATTAAAGCGATGATATTTGAATATTGTTGTGTCTTTACATATTTGTTGTTTTACAATTTGCATAGTTCTGATTTTACATATTGGTGCTATAAATAGGATGTGTAAATTAGTTAAATAGCCAAGAGTTAGGAGTTAAGAAGTTCAGACCTTGGCAGTTAGCTCTCAGTAAATCTTGTTATTTTGGACTTGTTTTCTATAGTAGTTTTGGTTTGGAAATAAATGATAATTGTTCAAGAGTTGGGCTCTGGTTGAGGTGCATCAGCGGGACACGACAAAAATAGCATTTATAAATATTCATATAGTATATTCTTTAAAAATGTATATTTATCTATCACTTTTTAATCATATCTTTTTTTGTTCTGTGTGTGTGTGATCCTATATTTCGTTTGATTTCATTGTGTTTTAAATCCTCATAATTTGGATTTAGGAGTTCAATCTTGGAAACAACACTTAGTAAATAAATCGATTTCTTATCAGAGATTGGGAAGACAAGAAAACTACAAAACGCACTACACATAGGTGGTTAGTAAAATTCTATTTATATCAGCTTGGCCAGGGGTTGGCAAACATTTGAGTCGGAAGAGTCAAAAATTTCAATTTACAAAATTTCTAAGTTTTTAAAGAGCCACAAAATGTTTTATTGCCAATAATAAATAGTACTCGCATAAATAATATTTGCGTATGGGAACTATATAAAGAGCCGCGAGCGAGCCGTAGTTTGCCTGGCCTAGGCGGTGGTTGACAGTGATCGATTAAAGAAGTAAATCGAAGAAAACAAACCACAAAACCAACCAAGAGATTGCTAAAGAACTTAACGTTTATTCATCTATACATATTCGCCATTTAAGTTAATTCCAAAGGTGAAAAATCTCGACAACTGGATTTCACTTTTATTAAATGAAAAACCAAAATATCGACATTTTGTAGCCATGCCGTCGCTATTTATACGCTGAAATAACGATTCGATGTACGAACGTAGGTGACTGGTAGGGTGAAATTTATACTCTACTAGCCGAATGGCCCGGGCAACGCCCGGGTTTTACCCGATTTAATGCTTTTATTCAAATACTATTCGTTACAATTATAAATTGACGCCCTGGATGTCATTCTTGTATAATATATAAATGAGTTTTAAAAATTGTAAAAAAAAAAATGTATCGGCCGGGAATCGAACCCGGGCTGCCCGCGTGGCAGGCGAGCATTCTACCACTGAACCACCGATGGTTATGAGAAATGGCCATATTTGGGTATTTATTCCATTCACAGAGCAAACGGTGACAGAATTGATTATTAAGAATTGTTGCTTGATGACTCTGATAACTTTATATATTAATACATATTCGCCATTTAAGTTAATTACAAAGGTGAAAAATCTCAACAACTGGATTTCACTTTTAATGAATAAAAAACCGAAATATCGACATTTTGTAGCCATGCCGTCGCTATTTATACGTTGAAATAACGATCCGATGTACGAACGTATTGTGACTTGTAGGGGAAAATTTATAATTTATGATAGCCTGCGATATTTAACTTACTGAATTCTGTCGAAACCGTCATAGCAGAGAGGTATTGTCAACAAATTGATAAAAATATACCAAACACTTCATTGAACCTGCACGCACGCGATAATGAATAATACAAAAATATCAATTCTTCTCAGGAAAACCATCCACACCATCGGAAAGAAAAAGTTACATAAGTTTGACGATAACTATTTTGATCGCCAAACATTATCTTCTGAAATATCGCCTCCCGGATTCTACTTCTTTCTCTCCCTTCAAATACTTGAACCACTACAAAAACTTAATTTTATTTCACACACACTTAAAAAACTTTCATATTTTTTAAATGTAAAAGAAGATAGTTTTTTGTATGATAGAAAACATGAATAAAGACCGTTACGATATATTTTTTTCATATGGATTGTAGCATATGGTGAACAAAAAGAAATTATAGTTTTTCATTAGAATATCCATTTTTTTATATTAGAATTTATGATATGTTTATCATATATGTGCATTTTTATAAACGCTGGCATTCCAGAGTGGGGGGAGGGGGAATGGGGGTGGACGAGAGTCTGGTCA